ACCTTGATTACTTTGCATTACTGTCTTCTAGTTCATTAATTCGTTCCTCTGCTTCTTCCAGCCTGCTGTTTATTCCATCAAGTGCATTTTTAATTTCAATTGTGTTCGTCTCTGATTGGTTCTCTTTTATGTTTTCTATCTCTTCCTTAAGGGTTCTCACTGATGTTCTCCACTCTTTTCTCATATTCATTGAGTTATCTTTATGATCATTATTTTAAAGTCTCTATCAGGCATGCTATTTATGTCTGTTTAACTTGTGTCTCTTGCTGTGGTTTCCCCCTGTTTCATTTGTGACCTACTTTTTGTGTCTTCATTTTGCCTAACTGTCTGTTTCTGTGTGTTAGGAAGGTCAGCTACATCTCTTGATCTTGAAAGTAGTGGGCAGGATGCCCACTTTTAACTAGGTGGCACTGGCCCTTCTCCACAGCAGATGTGCAGCTGTTACGGAGACCGAGCTGGCTGGGGCTGCTCTACAAAATGTCTGGAGGCAGGTGGTTAATACCCTCTTTGCCTCTACCTGCATCCTAGTTGATCAAGAACTATAAAAAAGAAAATCCTCCCTGTTTAGTTCAGACTGCTATCACAGAGTACCATAGACTGGGTGGCTTGTAAACAACAGAAACATATTCTCACACTCCTGGAGGCTGGGAAGTGTTAGGATACTAGGTTCTGGCTGATTTAGTGTCTGGTGAGAGCCCACTTCCTGGTTCATGAAAGGCTCTCTCAACTATATCCTCACATGGTGGAAAAAGCAAGAGAGCTCTCTCTTTTTTTTTTAATAAGTCACCAATTCCTTTTATGGGGGCTGTACCCTCATGACCTAATCCCTTCCCAAAGGCCCCACCCCCTAATACTATCACACTGGAGTTTAGGATTTGGCTATTGAGACTGTCCCTAGAATAAGCTGTACTTTGCCTTCGCAGCCCTAACCTTGGAAGAGCACTGTGCTTCATGTTACGTGCTATCTGTATAAAACAAATCCTTCAATTAGAAAGATTGAAATAAAGACATGAGTAAAGCTATACCAGGCAAATGAAGTACAAAATAATATCAAAGTAAACTTCAAGGAAGAAAGCAGGAAAGACAAATACTAGTTCACAATATATACCCATCTCCCTAATGTTAGAAATGCTCATGTGTATATAGGTCCAACTAAAATGGTAATGTGAGAAAGTAGCAAAAAATCCTGAACATTAGGAAATTTAAACACTTGGTTCTAAATGAAAATTAAAAATTATACACTCTTTAGGTAACAATGTCAAAACTCTGGAAGACCAAAGGAATTGTCATTTAGTCAAAGTAGTATCAAATACTTTTATTATTGCAAAAGAAATAGTTTTTTAGATGAGTAAACTGGTAATTTTCTTTTTTTTTTTTAACTGTTAATTTTCAACTCAGGAAAATAAAACAACTAAAGGAATTAATAGAGATGAAACCAGAAATTGTAGAATTAGAATTGATGAGTAAAAATCTTAAATAACTATAAAAGATAGATAGTCCATCCCAAGTCTAATTAAGAAAATAGTAAATAACTATTGATTCATAGTCCTTTATCCAAAACCCATGTGGTAAGATAGGTTTGAGAATTCAGGATTTTTCATATTTTAGAAAAGTAATATGGTACACATACCGTATCTTAAATGACAACTCCAGCAAATCTGAAGCAAAACCTGGTAATCAGACTTTCTTGCTACATCATGTTAATGAGTTCATAAGAGAAAAGTACCTATCTACTCAGTGGTTTACTTAATAGAGGTTTAAAAAAAGCATTTGAGGGGTGCTTGGGTGGCTTCAGTTAAGCATGACCTTCCGCTTAGGTCATGATCTCAGGGTCCTGGGATCAAGCCTTGCGTGGGGCTCCATGCTTGGTAGGGAGTCTGCTTCTCCCTCTCCCATGACCTCCTCCCCATTCGTGCACGCATGAGCACTCTCTCACAAATAAAATCTTTAAAAAAATAAAATTAAATACTTACTACCAATAAAGTACTTAGGAAATGGAGTAGAAAAATACTTCTTGACGTGTTGAAAAGTATCATCTAAAAATAATAGTAGGTGTGTCTGGCTGGCTGAATTGATGGAGCATGCAACTCTTGATCTCGGGGTTCTGAGTTTGAGCCCCATTTGGGTATAGAGATTACTTAAAAATAAACTCTTTTAAAAATAATAAATAGCAAAAACAATAAACACTACTAAAAACAGGTCATAGAGCAGTGTTCAAAATGTTGAGGTGGTAAGTACATAAATGCATGCATATCTAGAAACACTAATGGAATTGTGATACACTTGGGTTTGTATTTTGTATGTCTGTTTTATATTTCTAGGAGCAGTTCATTTTTTGTATATTTACAAAAATATTGTTTCCAGTGGATTAGGGGAAAGGACTCAAAACCAGTTCTTCACTGCAGATAGTTTAAGATGCATTGAACTAGGGGAGTTTCTGTAAAGTTAAGACAAGACCAAGCACTATCACCATGAATACAGTAAATAAAAAATAAGCAGGATATGTAATATAAGAGAAAAAAATGAAGTGTAAATATCATAAAGAATTTAATTGGAAAAAATCCTATTCACTGTAATAGTGAAAATTACAAAGAACTTAAGAATATGTAGTTGGTAGGACCTTTAAGAACAATGTAACAGATTTTTACTGAAGGATAGTATCAAGAAGTCTGAAAGAGTCTGAGATTTTACCATATTTGCAGTCTGACAATTTAGCCTGCTTGCAGAAGACAGAAGACTTCTGAGTGAGAGACAAAGGATGTTATTACTCATGGGATAGCAGGCAGCATCAGCTTCATGTTTGTATTGGTTCCCACGTGTCCCCAAATCTTGGGGGCGATATGGAGCAGATCCGTGTGGATACTGAGGGCACAGAGAGTTGTATTATACTTGAGGTACTTTGAGTTTAAGAAACCCTCAGTCTTATAAGCGGGCTGCTGGCAAACCTGCCACCCTCCCTGTCTTTACTCATTTGGAAAAAATCTGCTCCCTATTCTGGCGGAAAATATCTCTACCTTCCAAGGTTGTTTGCTATTCAGGCATCCTTGAGAAGATGTTTAAATAAGACTTGGAGAACTACAAGATATTCATGGAGAATTGTCTCAACAGATAGATGATTTGATGAAATGTAGAGCCATACTGTTTCTGGGTGGGAGGTTCCATTAACATAAGATGTCAGTTACTTTCTTGTAAGTAAGGAAGGCCATTTCCCCCAAGTAAATTGTATATATTTTACCATTATTTGATAAAATAGAAAAAGTTAATTGTATATATTTATAGAAAAATAGAAAAAGTTAATTGTATATATTTTATCATTATTTGATAAAATAGAAAAGTTAATTGGAGCCTGGGTGGCTCAGTCAATTAAGCGTCTGTTTTTGGCTCAGGTCATGATCCTGGAGTCCTGGGATTGAGCTTCACGTCAGGCTCCCTGCTCCTCCCTCTTCCTCTGCCCCTCCCCTGCTCCTTCTCTCTCACTCTCTCAAATAAATAAATAAAATCTTAAAAAAAAATGAAAGAAAAGTTAATTAGGAAAAATAATTGCTGAAAAATAGCCAAGGAGAATTTTAAAAAGTTACAAGTAGTAGCTGGTCCACATATTAATAATTTTAATTATTGTGAGATTATAGTAACTGTATTTACATGAAACTATCTCCAAAATGAAATATATGAAAATAATGCAGAATAGGTTTTGGACAGGAAAGGCCATTTTATGGAGGATATCACAGGCAGAAACTAGATTGGATTACACAAACAAAAAGTACCTTTTTGGGCAATAAGCATTTACAAAGTGAAAAAAGGAAAAGGACAACAAAAATTATTTGCAACTTGTATGACAAAGAGTGAAGTGAGCAGCACTGAGATGTTAAATTCTTAGAAATTAATGAGATCAGTGAATATTCAGATAAAATAATAGGCAGAGAAAATGTAAATTAAAATAGGTTGCCGTAACAAAAAACTAAGCTAATATTGGTAAAGATGTAAAAACACTTGATGTAATTCCTAGAATTGGAGAGGACGTGAGGAAATAGATTGTCAGATATATAGTGCAGGTGCAACCTTTCAGTAATGCACTATGGTGCTTTTTAAAATGTTGATGCCAGGACGCCTGGGTGGCTTAGTTGGTTAAGGGTCTGCCTTTGGCTCAGGACTTGATACCAGGGTCCTGGGATCGATGGACCCCCCCCCCATCGGGCTCCCTGCTCAGCGGGGAGTCTGCTTCTGCTTCTCCCTCTCCCTCTGCCCCTCCCCCTGCTTGTCCTTAAGTGAGCACGCTCGCTCTCTTTCTTTCTAGCATGTTCTCTCTCAAATCTTTTTAAAAAAGTAGATGTACATAAAATATTTTACATCTTGGAATGTGACATTCTCTCTGGAAATCTCTCCTACCCGTATTCTTCTTTGTTCTCACTTGTTCCATCTCTCTTTACTTATGAGTGTGGCTTCGCCAATTAACTTTATTTAAACAGATATCTCACAGTCCCTATTTCTCTTTTGTGCTTCATTTTTTTCTATAGTATTGTATCATACTTGACATATTATGTATTTATTCATTGTTTAGCTCTGTAAGAATCAGAGTATAGCTATTTGAATAGCTCTAAGTACAGAACATCTGTTTCTTTTGTTCATTTTATCCTCAGTACCCAGAACAGTGTCTACTCTATAGAAGGTTCTTAACAGATACTTCTTGAATGTGGAATGTATTTATAAAGCTTCTAAGTGGACAAAATTTATACACCATAAACCGATCCCACTTTTTGTGGAAAAACTGTATTTGTTTACACATATAAAATCTCCAGGTGGAGAATTACAAGTAATTTTTACTACCCTTCTTCTTTTCTGCCTCAAGTAAGGATATAATAGATTCTAGACATTGAAAACAAAGATGTTAATATTACGGGTTTAGGAGGGGGTGACACATGGACTTCCTTTAAGTATAAAAAAATTTACTACTCCCTGTGAGGATGAAATTACTGATCCTGCCTTGACTTTGCCTCTTGCAGGTAGCACCTCCTCCACCCCCAATTACTGATACACCTGACACCACAGCAACTACGGGTGGAGGTTTACCAACAACCATGGGAGGGCCTCTTCCTCCACATTTGGCTCTTAAGGCAGGTAAGGGACTTGAATGTGTATGTATGACACGATAAGATACGCATAATCCTTCTTAGTCTTCATCTCTTTCTCATTTGGATAGAAAGAAAGCTACATGAACTCATAATGTCGAGACAACCCAGGGCCTTCATAAATTTACAAATACCACCAGTGATTTCTCTTACAAAGTGTGATATAGCTTAATTCCTTACTTCCATTAGCTTTTACTAATTTTTATTTCTGGATAAATTTTGCACAGGCTAGAACATTTGATTAAAGGGTCTTATTTATTGCCCTTTCTTGTTTCTAACTTACTCCTATCAAATGTATCGTAGACTTATACCTGTGCATCCAAGGTGTTACTGAATTCTTATGTTATCAAAGCTTTTTATTGGTCTTGCCCCAGTATAGGATAGATTAACTAGGATCTTGGTCAAGTTACTTAAGTCTTAGATCCAGTATTTATGAAATGAGAATAACAGTAGTATTTATTTCATAAGATTGTTGTGAGGAATAAATTTTTTAAAAAGCATGTCATAGACTTAGTGGAGTTAATAATCAGGCAGTATTAGGTATCTTTAGTTAGTCTGCTTTCTTACCAAGATTTAACACTTTCTTATACCTTTTCAGCTTCTTATCCCCATCACTAGTGCTAACAGGTTTCTCTCAAGGTCATATTTAGCAAAGCAGTTTGAACAAATTTAATCAGTCATCAAGTTTAATTAACTTGAAAATGTATGCTAGATTGTCAGGTCACTTATGATCATTGCTAGTAGCTCCCCCCATACATACCAGCCTTGAGGTTATCAATTTAGACTTATATTTCAATCATGAAACAGTTTTCAAGTAAGTCATGAAGATTTGGGGCAGATTTCCAAATAATTGAGAAACTTTGCTTTCTAGTTACAGAATGCCAAAATCTAAAAATACTCTTTAAAATATTTAGGATCTTCTTAAATATTTCATTTTCTTTTCTAATAGAAAATAATTCTGGAATTGGGGCCTCTGGCTATGGTCCTCCTGGGCCCACCTGGGATCGAGGAGCCAACTTGAAGGATTATTATTCAAGAAAGGAAGAACAAGAAGTACAAGCGGTAAGGCTATCCTATCACCCTTTGTCACATACCCAGGATTGTCACTTAGTACTTGGTTCAATGCAAGACTTAAGATATTCACAACTTAGGGCGCCTGGGTGGCTCAGTCGGTTGAGCGACTGCCTTCAGCTCAGGTCATGATCCTGGAGTCCTGGGATCGAGTCCTGCATCGGGCTCCCTCTGCTTCTCCCTCTGACCCTCCCCCCTCTCATGTGCTCTCTCTCTCTCTCATTCTCTCTCTCAAATAAATAAATGAAATCTTTAAAAAAAAAAAAAAAGATATTCACAACTTAATGATTTGGTGATTCTTTCAAGTCGTTGTTTGAGGCTACTTGTTCACACAAGACAGCATAAACCTAAGCTACCCATTAAATCTGGTCACTAGAATTGCCTATGAAACAAAACTTTTTCTGGTGATAGAATGTATCCTCATCTGTTTTACAGGAAATGTAATTACCTTAGTAAACCTCATTTCATGAGCCCTCAAAAATGTCTTCATAGAAAAGGTTATTTTTCCACTTAATATGTTTAAAGTGTTAAAGCCAACACAAAATTTGTCAAGGTTTCTCAGGAATAATTTAAATACACAATACATTAACTAATAGCTTGTTTATACAGTAGGATCACCAGATGTAGCAAAAACTATTTCTGGTTCACTTTGGTCTAGGAATAGAAGCATTAAAAACAGTTTTTGCATTATAAAGGGTAGTACAAAGAAGATGCTGTTATAAATTTCTGTACCTTAGATATGCATAACTAAAATTAATGCAGCCAAATTTAATTGTCATTGCTTCAACAGACTTTAGAGTCAGAAGAAGTGGATTTAAATGCTGGGCTTCATGGAAACTGGACATTGGAAAATGCTAAGGCTCGTCTGAACCAGTATTTCCAAAAGGAAAAGATTCAAGGAGAATATAAGTACACCCAAGTGGGTCCTGATCACAACAGGTTTGCTTGTTTCAGTCTTTTCCTTCTATAGTAAGTTAGGGTTGTTTTATATAGTCATTGTTCTATTTTTGTGTGTGTTACCTAATTCAGTTTGTGGATTAGCAATGAATTGTGAAAAGATACTTTGCCTAAGAAAAATTATCATTGATTCGTAATTAGTAGTTTACCATGATTTTTATTTAGGAGGAGGATTTTAGAAGTTCTGCAAAAATCTGCTGTTTGTGTTGCTAGACTTATGAGGTTCTCATTTGTATCTGAGAGGCAAAAATCATGCCACAAGTGGTGGTTTGTCTCTGATTTAAAAAGCAGCCTGAGGTGGTGAGTTTTTTCACTGTGGTATTGTTAAAGGTAGTTATAAGGATTATTTCTTTAATGGGTCAAGTTAGACACTTAAGTTCCAGAGTCTCAGGTAGACTGCATTGCATCTAGATCCAAATTTTCCTTTCGCTTTGAAAGTTGCCAGCTCTTAGAGTCCTGTTGAAGTGTTTAAGGGCTTATTGTAAAGCTGAAGGATAGCTTCAGTCATTGTATGTGAGTTAAAATAGCTTACTTTTATTCTGTTAAATATATAAAACAACATAAAGGGAGGTCGTTGTAACAGTTGACAGTATGTTTCTCAGCCTGCTTGCTCTTCTTCCTGAGAGCATTCCAGGGTGTAGTAATTATTACTCCCAGGAAGGCTCATATGGATTAGACACTTTCTGGGGGCACTGTATTTTTATTGGAAGAGAAAGAAGGCTATAGTGAAACCTTCTGGTTGATTTAATTTGCTGTCCTTTATATGAAATAAATTATTCAAAATACATAAAAAGTATTTTCCTTGAAAATCAGAGTGTTCTCCCTTCATTGCATCTAGTAATCCTAAAATAATTATTACTAAAAAAAACTTTGACGCTGTGGTCAAAATGATGTTCAGAGCATGGATCACCCTGCTTCCTGTTTGTTCAATCCTGAATTCTCAATACTTAATTTGACATCAGATTTTTTAAAACCCTCAGAGGTTATAAAGGAAGGATCCATTTGTTGATTTTTCTTTAATATTTTGTCCTTCTGAACTGATTGAGCTTATTAGTAGCCCTTGGTGACTTTAAGAACAAGTAAATGTGTCTGAAGCTTGTTGTAAACATGTTTTGATACCAGTATCTTATCATTGACTCCTGATAGAAAAAGAATTGAAGAATTCAGGATATGACAATGAGGAAGGCAAAGACAATTGGGGGAGCTAGGACAGCATCTCCTTGTATGTCCTTTATTTAAAGGCATAACAGACAGCAACACCAGAGGTCTGTGTTCATACACACATGTGCTGCTGCTTAGGCTGAACTAAGCAATCACATGGAAAACTATTGTAAACTGATTTCTGGTGTCGCTGTTCCCCCTAGGTGGAGGAGAATGAGATTGAGTGCTGACTTTAAGCCTGGCTGAGAAACATACTGGCATCGGTGTCATTAATGAAAGGGTGGATGTTGTTCCCTTGAAAGCCAGTGGCCTTTGACCCCTGAAGCCGCTGTGCCTGAAGGTCAGTTCACAAGAGGTATAGGAAGGAGTCTAACATTTACTTTTTCTTAAGCCTTACCTACCTTTTATTCACAGCACAGTCAAGGCTAGAATGTACCTGAGCAGTGGAAGGATCAGAAAGCATAGTTTTCAAAGGACAGTTTTTGCTTTATTGAAACTAAATTCGTCCCCTAGAATCTGCTAGCGATTTGAGCTCTAATTTCCAAAAATATTTTGTTCCCTGGTTTAAATAAGTGTGGTATAAATAAGCTAAGTTTTTTGTTATCAAGGGCTGCTTCCAACTGCAGGCAGATACCAGACCCCTGCCTCAGGAGCCACAGATACATGCATAGTGTTTGTATGTTCATGTGTATGTGTGCATGCATGCATATATTTAGCTTATCTTAACAGATAAGTCATTAGTGGGTGGCCCATGCAAAGCAATCTTAAAATAATCACAACCATAATTTAAAGAATTTGGGGACTGTGTTATTTCTTGGCCCCAGGCTAAATGGAAAATTCCTTTTCATTGAATGTCTTCCAGCTATTGAAACTGCAACCTTTGGAGTAAGTAAACACAGAATCTAAAACCTTAACATTTTCTTTTTGTGAACAGTTGGCTTGTCAGCTTTGATTATAGTTGTCTTGTACCATGTTGTACATTATTTGAAGTTTACATATACTTGATTCGTTCTAGGATTGAACAGAAATAAGTGTTTACAGTGGTTTTTTGCTGTGCCTTGCCTAAGCAGTTGGAAAGCCTGCCTGATTTGGGAGTCCTGGATTTAGTAATTTCTAACAGTGAAATTCCTAACCTTGTTTGTATATGTTGTTACAGGAGCTTTATTGCAGAAATGACCATTTACATCAAGCAGCTGGGCAGAAGTAAGTGTTACTGCTTCCCTGATAACTCTTGAGTCTTATATAGTGGAGTAATACATTAAAGTCTTCAGCCACATACATATAATCTTTATTAATTGAAAGAGTATTAATTGAAAGGTAGCATTCTGGGGTATTTTAGAATATTAGTAATTACATGAATTTGAGGGCCCAGTTTCCCAGTTTGCAGGTGAAAAAAAAAAAAGATCGTGCTAGTATTTATTTCAAAGGGTAAGAGATGGTAGGTAGGCTAATTAGGAATCTGCCAGCCAGACAGCTCTAAAACATTTTTTTTTAATCTTTAATCAGGTAGTTAGGTGTAAAATTTAGAAAGTAGAGTAAATGTAGAGTAGATGATAGCATTTGAAGCCCCAAGGTGGATGTGTAGCATTTAAGAGTCTTAGAGTCAAGAAGAGGTGTAAAAGTTACCCTGAGGAAACAGGAATGGATTTGGGGGGGTATTCATAAAGGAAGTGAAAAGGTAAAGATATAATCCTGTATTCTCTATTCTTAGTAAGTTTACAACAGGCAGTGTGTTATGCTTGAAAGTAAGGAACTAGTTTACTGGTTTTGTTATTAACATTGCTGGGACCCCGTTAACTTACCTGCAAATTGAGAGAAACGGCCTAAGATTCTTTTCAGCTTGAGGATTCTGCAACTAACACTAAGGATTTAAATTTATAGTGTATGAAAGACTTTCCTCATAAAATCAAACCTTCAAATGAATCATCAAGAGATGGTGTTGAATTTTTTTATCCTAGACTTTAAAAATAAAACTTTGAGTAGATGGGATGTTAAGAGAAGAGGATAAAGGCAGTCTAACTTGTTGTGCCGTTGATCTGACTTTCAGAATTAATTTGACTAAATTGGCTAGTAGGCCTAAAAGTATCTGTGCCCCTTCCTTACCTTATGTCATCTCCTAAAGCTGAATGATACTGGAGGAGAAGACACTTTGTATTAGCATTTTCTTTAAGAATTTGAGTAGTTGCTGGCTTCAGTCTGATGCCAGGATAAGCAAATTATAGGCCTCTGGCCAAATACAGCCCATTACCTGTTCTATAAACAAAATTTTATTAGAACACAGCTACACTTGTTTGTATCAGGGGCTGGCAAACTTTGATAAAAGGCTAGATCGTAAATATTTTAAGCTTTGCAGGTCACATATATCACCCATTGTTATTTTTGTCTTATTTTTACAACCCTTTAAAAACAAGCCATTTTTAGTTCCTGGGCCCATAGTTTGTAAAACCTTAGTTTATGTGTTGTCTATGGATGCTTTCACGCTAGGCAGAGTTGAGTGGCTGTGATAGACACTATGTGGCCTGCCAAGCCTAAACTATTCATTATCTTACTCTTTATGGAAGATTGCCAACTCCTGGTCTAAGTAACCACTTTGGACCCATTTTCATTTCTTGCCTTGTTTCGCTTTTCAAAAATTAAACTACGTTTTCTTTGTTTTAACACTAGATGATATTAATAATGACAACTTGGTTGAAATAGGTTTTCTGCTTTTATAATGATTTGTCTGTGTCTTAGTATCTGCCTGTAATCAAGATGGTTATTTAGTCAGTATGCTGTTAATGGAATTGCTTTTGGTTAGCAGTTAACATGAAAAAGAACTTAGAGTCTGTAACATACTCTGTATTTTAGGGGACTTTTGTACCTAAGCCCCTAGTTGCCTATGATGAGATGTTTCTTTACTAGGATGATTTATCCTTTCATCTTTAGTAATCCTGAACTTAAATTATAGGGATTTTCGCACGTGAACATGGATCAAATAAAAAACTGGCAGCACAGTCCTGTGCCCTGTCACTTGTCAGACAACTCTACCATCTTGGAGTAATTGAAGCTTACTCTGGACTTACAAAGAAGAAAGAAGGAGAGACAGTGAGTCTTTAGACTTAGTAGCCCAGAGGGAATGATTCAATTTAGTTTTTGATTTGGCTAAAGAAGTTTAATTCATAGTTCTTGGAATCTTAACCTTAAGAAATGGAAATGGCCTGACTAATCATCTGTCTGGCATGATACTGTGTTCGAGTGGACAATGAGTAAATAATCATCAGTCAGTTTTACACAATGAGGAACTGACTTATTGGCTTCAGGAATATTGTAGACCTAGTGCTGACTGCATGCTCTTAGCCCTGCTATAGTAGATTTGAGTAGTGTTCATGTGTATGTTAACATAATTTTCATGGCTATCCTTTTTCTGTAGGTGGAGCCTTACAAAGTTAACCTCTCACAAGATTTAGAACATCAGCTGCAAAACATCATTCAGGAGCTAAATCTTGAGATCGTGCCCCCAGTAAGCATACAGTTAATTTAGTACACCTTTGTATTGAAAATTTCTAGTCCGATAAGCGACTGGTATTATTTTTTGTTTTTCTTATTTTTTAATAGCCTGATGATCCTTTTATGCCTGTCGTACTGAACCTTGGCAAATTGGCTCACTTTGAGCCATCCCAGCGACAAAACCAAATGGGCGTGGTTCCTTGGTCACCTCCACAATCCAATTGGAATCCTTGGACTAGTAGCAACATTGATGAGGGGCCCCTGGCTTATGTGAGTGCAACATTGTTTTTGAGCTCAGACTCTTGTGTTTTATTTTTTAATATATTTCATTAAAAAGCCCAGATTTTTAAAAATGTTTTCAGTTTGAGGCTAAGTTATGTGCTTTTGTTTGACTGTTGCCTTCTCATTTTACAGGCTACTCCAGAACAAATAAGTATGGACCTCAAGAATGAGTTAATGTACCAGCTGGAACAGGATCACGATTTGCCAGCAGTAAGTCAGTGAAGTATTTAGACATATGGTGTCCAGAGCTTTAGAACTTTCTAGGTATGGGCAAAAGAACAGTGAATAATGTATTTTGCTCTTTCTAGGGAGGTAGATCCAAAGGTATTTACCAAACCTCTAATTGTGTAGTTACCTCTGAGGATAATTTTTTTGAGTTAAGGGCCTGGGATTCTTAGTTAATGTAAATGGAGAGATTTGGGGAATAACTTTTTTTTTTGGCATTTTTCACTATTTTTTGAGTAAAACAACATTAAAATGTAAGAAGGGGAATGTATATGGAATGTTCAGGGAGAAAGGAGGAAAACAAGAGGGTAGACAAGGCCACAATATAGATTCTTCAGAAATTCAGGGAAGAGAGGCAGTTCTGTTAGAGATATAAATATATGCATTGTTTTATGAAAAAATATATTTTGAGTATGAAGCCAGTGGAAAGGAATGTTTTTATAGAGATGGGAAATTTTTTTTAGGATTAAGAGGGTTGCTTCTAATGTATATGTTGGTAAAACTTTGACTGCCATGGAGCTTTCGTAAACAGATTTTAGGGGTACCTGGGTGGCTCACCTCGTTCGTCATCTGACTCTTGGTTTCAGTTTGGGTCATGATCTCTCAGGGTCGTGAGGTTGAGCCCCGTGTCGGGCTCTGTGTTCAGTGTGGAATCTACTTAAGATTCTCTCCTCTGCCCCTCCCTTCATCTCTCTCAAAAAAAAAAAAAAGATCTTACAGGAGAGAGAGTTGCTGCCTGTGAAGAAATTTGAAAGTGAAATCCTGGAAGCAATTAGTCAAAATTCAGTTGTCATTATCCGAGGCGCTACTGGATGTGGTAAAACCACACAAGTTCCACAGTTTATTCTAGATGACTTCATCCAGAATGATAGAGCAGCAGAGTGTAATATTGTAGTAACTCAGGTAAGTAGTAAGCCAGCTTACAAGGTATGTGTCTGGTGTTGTTAGAGTTTGAGAGGTGGAAACACCTAGAGGCCAGGCTATTTTTAATTCTTTTATTAACTCCCCTCGGTAGCCACATTAGGCTCTTTAAAATTAAAAAAAGAAGAAGAATTTAAGTCTTGTTCTAATTTTCAGTGATAAGCTGAACTGAACCATGGGAGCGATTCTTTTTGTCTGGGCTAGAGAGGGACTCTGTGGGCCTAGAATCAGACAAGACTAAGGATACTTTCTCCCCAAGTTCACATGCAAGTCTTGCTCCTCTGCATCTTACCTTAATACTCAGAGCAAGAGTAGGCAAGCTAACAAAACAGTTAACGGTTGACTCTAACTGAATGCTTAAAGTATGCCAGGTTCTGTTTTAAACATCTGGTATTTTTTAGGCTCATATAAAGTTTATGATGATTCTAAGATGTACATATTATTTTATTTAGTATTTCTCCTTCAATAAATTAAGGCACAAAGAGTTAAGTAAATTGCCCAAGTTATTAACACAGGACGTAGTGGAATTGGGATTCAAAACCAAACAATTTGCCTTTGGGCTTCTTCCTTTTAACTACTACATTATATTACCTTACCAGCAATAAGTGATGCCTGTGAATTTGTCCCAGAGCTTAGGGAAAAGCTAATTACTCTTCCAAGCCTTCTCAGGTTAAAGCAGTTCCCATCAGCTCTAACCCTGTACTTTTGGCACCTAGAAGGAGACCATTGCATAGAAGCCAGATACCACCTGTCAGGCTGCCTCAGACCTTGACTTAGAATCTGATGCTTAACCTGGGGCACATAATTGATCCTTGGGGAGGAGTAGTGAACCTCAGAGTAGCCAGAATTGTTTGTGCCTATGCATTTATGTGTATATATACAAATCATATTTTTTAAAATTTCTGAAATTGAAGTAGATCTTATAATTAGTGTCTGTGTTTGATATGATAGTTGGGTTTTTTGGCCTAAAAAATATTACTGAAGGAATGAATGTTGCATTTAAAATCAGTGCTATCTTAGGCTTAAAAAACATGATAGGTCTATATTTTTCTGGGAAAGGACCCTCAGCTTTCTTCTCAAAATGTTCTTTGATTATCCTTCCCACTCCCAAAACTGGCTCTGAATCCTTTGCCTCATAGTGAAAGTTCCAACCCCAAGTACTATGACCAATAAAATGTCCTTGCTCTTTTTTTTGTTGTTTGTTTTTTTGTTAATATCCTTGCTCTTAATGCTTACCTGTCTTATAGGAGATATATTGTTTAGAAGCGGCGTATGTTGTTTAGAAGAGGAGTCCTTCGGGGTGCCTGGGTGGCTCAGATGGTTAAGCCTCTGCCTTCAGCTCAGGTCATGATCATAGAGTCCTGGGATCGAGCCCCGTGTTGGGCTCCCTGCTCATCGGGGAGTCTGCTTCTCCCTCTCCCTCTGCCTCTCCCCCTGCTGCTTGTGCTCTCTCTCTCAATCAAGTGAATAAATAAAAAAAATCTTGGGGGAAAAAAAAAGGAGTCTTGAGCTCTGCTTTGCCCTCCTTTCTTACTACCACTTTCCACTTTTAATCTCAAAAACAGTTCAGTCATATAGGAAGAGATGCAGAATTCAGCAGATGAGCTGAAAACCTATGTTCTCAGAAGTTGTTCGCATGTCATGAGTAGAATAAAATCACTTCTGCTCAAGTGAGAAGGTGTTTTTTTTCACTAGCCATCTAATAAATATCAAAGCCAAGTTAATTTAGCCAAAAATGGCTTTTGTGTGTTCTAGACAAAATAGGCTTTTGTTATTATAGTCTTAAACTTAGTATAATTTGCTACTATTTTGTGTCCTTTCCCAGATAATTTGGACATTTCTAGTGGCTTTATCTGTGAAATGTACAGGTTTCGATATATATGCTGTAACAAATGTAAGCAGTGAGCTATAGGGTGAAATAAAATGTTATTTTACTTTTTGCATTTGAAAACAGTTTTCACTTCTCTATTGGTCCTCTTTTACTTATATTCCTTCATAAAGTGAGAGAATCATGAAGTTGAAAAATACTTCAGAGAATTCCATCTTTTTTCTCTGGGTAGAATGTTCATAATAGGTGGTCACTTACGCTTGAAAATTTCCATCATGTGGGAATGTAGCTTGTGTTCTGATTTTGGACAAATGACTCTGAACTGTCACTCATAATGAATCTTTGTCCTAGTGCTTGTCCCAAAATCAGTCTCTGATACATTTTTCCTGTAATGTCTTTAAAAGTTTAAAAAATTCTGTGGGGTCCTAGTATGTTTCCTTTGTCTTACAAACATCTACTATAGTTCAGCCCGGGAGATAGGCTTTAAGACTCCATTAACCACATTTGAATGCATTGATATCATACCTGGAATATAAAAGATGGACCTGAGCATACTGATTGGTCATTGTAGAATACAGTTTTTAATACTCTTAATATTTTTAATAATATAAAGTATTCCAGGGGTACCCAGGCAGCTCAGTTGGTTAAGTGTCTGCCTTCGGCTCAGGTCATGATCCCAGGGTCCTGGGATCCAGCCAGTGCAACGGGCTCCCTGCTCAGTGGGGAGTCTACTTCTCCCTCACCCTCTGCCCTCCTGCCTCCACTTGTGCACGTCCCCCCCGCCCCAAATAAATAATATCTTTAAAAGAAAAAAGTTAAAAATACATAGTATTCTGTTAAGGCAATCTGAGATAGCATTTGTTTCTTTAGCCGTTTGAATGAATAGTCCTCTTGATACTGAATCGTGTGCATAGTCAAGGAAATGTGGCCCATAGTGCTTCTGAAGATTGTTGTTTTAGAACCGCTTATGTTAATTGTAACCTCCATTATGGATGGCTTTCTTGAGTCTCTTAGGACAGCTGTATTTGGGGGCCATATAGAGTTAAGAACTACAATAGGTACTGGTTAGGGAATATGCCATCTGCTGTCCATAGTCATTTTAGAAGGCTGGAAAATATAAGGATCGTAAACCTGAAAGTAGCCCCAAGGAGATAAAAGCAACCCCCAGGTACCCAATAGCATATGAATATACCTCCGAGGAGTCAAATAACCTCATAGATTTGAAGTTCTTCTAGAAGCCAGCTATTTAGTAGGAGTATTGAAAACTTCAGGAAAGACAAAAATAGAGCAAGGAGATGAGTGGTGTCAAGAATTTATGATATTTAGGATGCCTGGGTGGCTCAGTCAGTTGAATGTCTGCCTTCAGCTCGGGTCATGATCCCAGGGTCCTGGGATTGAGCCCTGCATCGGGCTCCATGCTCAGCAGGGGTTTTCTTCTCCCTCTACCCTTCCCCCCACTGCTTGTGATCTCTCTTTCTCACTTTCTCTCAAATAAATACTTCTTGAAAGGCCCCAGAAAACACTGTATTTTGTACGTTTAGTGGAGTATCATTTTTACATTTCATGATGTAAGTATATAGTCGAACTCTTCTTTTGAGGGCAAAATACAGAGCTCAGTTCTTCATGTAACACTTAACAGTTAGTGAGGTGCAGAGTACAGGTCAGTAGTGGTCAGTAAAAGCATAGCTCAGCAAGTTAAGGCGCATAAACCAGAGTATAAGCTCTGGAAAACTCGACACCATGTGTTTCAAGAAGGCATCTTTTAATTCCTTACTTTTGTGGACAAGATAAATATAAACTAGGTGATTGTATACTTATCTATATTTGTTATCAGCCCCGTGCCCTACAGGACTCTTAAATTAGGGATATAAAAATTAATAAATCATGTTTTGTATTGATTCAAAAAATATTAATAGCTTTAGTGAAGTTACTGAGGTTTTGTTTTGGACTTTTTTTAAGATTGTTATTACTCTCTGATTTCCTAGTCATGTCATACCTGGGATAACATCATATTGGTATTTAAATATGAAACTCAGAAAAAGTTTTCTCAAGCAAGGAACTAAAGTACAACCTGTCATCAAGAACTTTGACAAAATCAAATTCAAGGCAACTTAGAAGCATTCAGTCTTTATAAATCTGCATGTACCTCCATATCTATACCTTCAGGACATCGTAATAGCCATAGTATCCACCAAGTAAATACTGTTTTGTGTACTTACAAGAATATGGAATACTTCAGAAAATTTTATTTTCAGAAAAATTAAGGTCCAACACTTAAAACATTAACAGCATTAGCATTCCCCTTGGGTTTGCCATATTTATTGCTGGAAGCAGTAATACACACTCTTTTCCTCGCTATATAAGCTCGTCAAGAACAAGAATGATTTCATTTAGTTTTCTGTCTCTAGCACTGTCTGTAGCACCTAATGCAAATATGCAATGAATAGTTACTTTATGAGTTAATAAAATGATTGAATGAAAGGTGGCCATAGTAAATATGGCAAGGAAGGAGCTTATTTACTTTCCTAATACTTACACAGCTCAGTTAAATAATTTTTTACATGTGCCTTCACTTTGGTGTAGGCAGTTATAAGAACTCCCGATGTGCTGTCCCCTTCCCTACTGGAAAATTACTCTGAATATTAAGAGTTTGGGCCAATGGTGAAAACATTTTATTTTCTGTAAAAACCTGAGAATTGGGGCGCCTGGGTGGCTCAGTTGGTTAAGCGACTGCCTTCGGCTCAGGTCATGATCCTGGAGTCCCGGGATCGAGTCCCGCATCGGGCTCCCTGCTCGACAGGGAGTCTGCTTCTCCCTCTGACCCTCCCCCTTCTCATGTTCTCTCTCTCATTCTCTCTCTCTCAAATAAATAAAATCTTTAAAAAAAAAAAAAAACCTGAGAATTATTTTATATACGAAATGAAAAACAGCATTTTAAGAGTCTGCCATAGAATTAAGTGGTAATTTTTTGTTCTGATGTATTCTAATTAACTTTGGAGCTTTCTAAGAAAGATCATTACTATTATTTGTGTTGATTGCTGAGCTGGCAGTGGGACAGATATACTTCAGTAATTTAATAACCCTGATGAACAAGTGTAAGTAATTTGGTAGCTTTCAGTCACTTTTTTTTTTTTTTCCTTGTCTCAGCCCAGGAGAATAAGTGCAGTTTCTGTGGCTGAGCGAGTTGCCTATGAGAGAGGAGAAGAGCCTGGAAAAAGCTGTGGCTACAGTGTTCGATTTGAGTCTGTCCTTCCTCGCCCTCATGCCAGTATAATGTTTTGTACTGTTGGTCAGTAATTTGTTTTATTTTGGTCTTTGACTTGGAGTTTATATTGTGTTATTTATGAAGAAACTTGGTAACGGTGCAGAGTGGCTAAAAATAAGTCAAGGAGCCAGTCTCAGAATTCTCGTTTCAGTAGAACTTGTGGCACTTTTTCTCTAAATGGAGAGCGTTATGTTACCGCTGGTTATTGTAGCTTAGAGAAGATAAAATCTGCTTAGTTTACTAGAGTTACGTCTTTTAATACTCTTTTCATTAAACAAATGTGTTTCAGAACACACTGTTACCTTTTTAACAGTTTAAATATACAGATTACTGTTTCTTCCCTAAAATGATGCTGGGGTTCTATTAACTGAAGCACAGCTGATTGTCTAGAAGTTTGTTTCTTTACACATTTTTATACCTCCCTACTTTAATCAACATAGAAACTCATCTCCAGTTGTTCTGCTCATTTCCTTTTCCAGGTGTGCTCCTAAGAAAATTAGAAGCAGGCATTCGAGGAATCAGTCATGTAATTGTAGATGAAATACATGAGAGAGACATAAATGTAAGTAACTTGAGAGTTAACAGTAACGTACTAATACTAATATTCTGAATAAAAAAGTCAAAGTAGAATGTCTTCCTTTTTCCCACTTTTTACATCTTCTATCAAAATCAGGGGCTTCAGTCACTAAGATACTGGACACCTGTTTTTAGCAAGGCAAATAAACCTTTTTTGTTGTTAACTGCATAGAATGCTGAAAGTCCTCTTGTTAAGTATCATTGCAGTGATCAGTAAGAGCATAATTCAACAGCTGAACTGTTTATGACTGAATCATTGATAGAATTTTAATTAGTTTTTCTTTGAACTGGAGATTTATCTGGGATAAATTTTGTAAGTTTTAAATTCAGTGTAATTAGGAATGTCTTTTTGGATGTTTGTAGCTCTCATCTTTTCAGGTATTAATGATAATCATGCCAAATTAGGAAGAAACTAAAATTTATTTCATAACCCTTCCCTTTTTTGGTATTTGGCAAAATTTGTATACAATTACTATATAATTGTGTAATTTGAAGGTTGATAGCATAAAGCAATGATTTGTTTTTATGCCACTATTTTACATATCCAAACAAAGGTGTCAGTGAATAGGCAATACGTCATTCAAACTGTTACCAAGCTGCTATTGTTCAAAACATTTATTGGAGCACCTTCTCTTTAGAAAATACTTCTATAGCTGTTGTTGCTAATCATCTTTACTTTGGCAAAACTTTGACCTTTATGGTTGAGCTAAAACGAGTAAGAAAGTTTGGTTTATTAGATAGCTTCTAAAATCGGAAATTTAACTTTTCAGTGGGATAAAATTTTTGCTGTTTTTGTCATTCAGAATCTCTTGAAAACTAGTTCTTTTCCTGATTAACTTAATCAAAATGAAATGTTTCAATGCTATCTTCACTAGCATGGTAACATACCAGTGTTTTTAGAGTTTATCCCAAATCTTACTGGACACATCATGGATCATCACTATTTTCCTAAAAAAAAAAATAATAAGTGTTTTGGTCAGCTTTCCTTCAAAGACTGTCAGGTCTGTGAATGTACCGTTCACAGGGAACAATGAAAAAATGCCTTTGTAGAAACTTTTAATATTCTCTTTCAGATGAACCTTATCCTAAATTATTCAACCTAGAGACCAGTTATTATAAATAATAGGGAATAGGAAAATTTAACAACGCGGCTGGATGAAAAGGTTAATTACAAAAGTCAGTTGTGTTTTATGTATTATAAACAAACAGCTAGAAAACAACTCAAAAGATAACCACTGGAATAGTCAGAATGTCAAGTACTTCAGAATAAATCAACCCTATAGACATCACTTCTCCCCAAGTTGATCCAGTTTGAATGCAGGCCTAATCAAATTCCCATCAAGGTTTTTCATAGAATTTAATAGGCTGATTATGAATACTTACAGGGAAGATTTATGGCCAAAAATAACCAGGATTTCTGGAGAAGAGCAGAATGGCTTGTCTTGGCTTTAGAGATCTCAGGATGTAATTCAAAGCTATAATAATTGAGATAGTACATGGATTGACAGTTTGAGCACTGAATTATTCAGAATGTGGAAACAGATGGTGCGTTGAATGCATTGTTGGTATAAGAGTGATGGCATGTTGGTCTTCGGGAAAGGGGAGTGGGTTCTTCATTAAATTGAGCTGGAAACAAATGGTCATTATAAGGAAATAGTTGCAGTTGGATCATTGCCTCCTATCCAAATACAAGAATCAATTCCAGATGGATTAAGGACTTAAATGCCAAAGCAATTTTAAAAATCATAAGTAAAAAATAGAAGTAAACATTAGACAGCACTGTCCAGTAGAAATATATATATATTTCCATATATACTTTTTCTCTATATATTGTATAGGTACTTGTACATGAGAGAGGAAAGGAAGAAAAAATAAAAGTAAACCTCTAGATAGCACTGTCCAAAAGATAGATAGATATATATATAGTATAGGTACCTGCATAGATGAGAGAGGAAAGGTATATGAAAAGGATTAATAAGATTCAGGATGGTTTTCTCTAGGTGAGGGAGGCAGTGATGGGCAAGAGGGCCACACACCCAGAGAAAAGTTTTTTTGTCAGAGCTGTAGCTTTCATGTTGTTTGGTAGATAGATGGATACTTTACCTTATTAAGTTATAACTGTTTTGGCCATTATTTTGTTTGAACCAAATAAGACCTTTTCAACATTTTTAAGATTAGCTTTGCAGGTGGTTGGATAACTGAGTTTTGGTTCATCATGGCTTTCCCTCTTCCCTAGTTAAAGTTTGTATGCCTACGAATATAAATTTCACTGGAAATTTTCAGATGAATTCTTTGCTCTCATTAATTTTTTTTCTCTTCCCTTCTCCTATTAGACTACAACTATTCTTAAAACTACTACTGAATCCCACATTAACCCTTTATCTTTCACTTCTGCAAGCCACCAAAGAAACTGAATTTCAGTGATTTCTGCATAACACAAGAAATCTCTTGGGTGTCTCTTAATTAGCATGAACTTCTTCAGCAATTTTTTTTCATTTGTGTTTTAATAGACCGACTTCCTTTTGGTAGTGTTGCGTGATGTGGTTCAGGCTTACCCTGAAGTTCGCATTGTTCTCATGTCTGCTACTATCGACACCAGTATGTTCTGTGAATATTTCTTCAATTGTCCCATCATTGAAGTTTATGGGAGGACTTACCCAGTTCAAGGTAAATAGTTTGGAGGTGGGGTGGGAGGGTGAACATCTTTTATGCATTGGTGTTTGGATTTTCTTAATCTTGGAGATTGGAGTAATAGTTCAAAAGTCATTTAAAATACAGGCCAAAGTAGAATATCAAATGCATCATAACATTCTTGGGCTCTTACTCAAGCAGTAGTGAGTACAATCTGGGGAGCAAGAACAAGTTTCATTCATTACTTGAGGACTTGGCATATCCAGTAAATTTCCTTATAGCCAAAGATAACTTTCAGAATTATATACTGTCCAGTGTAAATCAATATGGCCTATAGATGTTTATGGGAAATACTATTAAAAAGTTTAAGCAGCGAGAGTCAACTTACAAGAGAATCTGAGAGCCAAAGCAGGCATGTGTTAAAATGATACTAAGGTGAGTGTGTCAAGATCAACTATTTCTGAGAGGTAAAAGAGTATTTCTGATAGGTAAGAGCTCCTTTACTTTCTTTTCTTTTTCTTTTTAGATTTATTAATTAGAGAGAGAGCACATAGGCCAACTAGAGCAAGGGGAGGGGCGGGCAGAGGGGGAGGCAGACTCTCCGCTGAGTGCAGAGCCTGAGAAGCCTGAGGACAAGGGGCTTGATCTCCCCAGAGATCATGACTTGAACCGAAACCACAAGTATGATGTTTAACTGACTGAGCCACCCAGGCGCCCCACTCCTTTACTTTCTTCAGAGTATTTTATCACCATTTTTTAGGATAATTATCTAATAGCTTGGTTAAAAAAGTGAATTCTAGCACAAATTGAGGGCATGAAAATAAGCTAAAAAATTTGCTGTGTGGGTATGAGATGATAAATGGTTATGTCAGGGTACTATTTTTTAAAATTCAGAAGTAAGGGTAGCTCTACAATAAAAGGCAGTGCAGTTGTATATTGTGAGGGGACAGGTTGACAGTCGTAAAACTGTTTACATGTATACTGTGATTGAAAAAATAAGTGGATGACAGATGGGGGAGCCAGGTTTACTGTGGGAGTGAGAGGCTATAGGTAAGTAGGAGGGAAGGCTTGAATGAACCATGTGGTGTATGATTACATGTGGAAACATCAATAAGAAGTCATGTTCAGATACAAGTGAATAGATAGAGAAATAATTAAAATATGTATGGATACATGGGTGAGTGTGCTTGCATACATTTCCTAGCTCTGTCTGCTGACCACAGTGATGGAGACAGAGGGACACAGGAGCCAACCTGAAAGAGCTGGAGTAATTTGAACAAAAATAAAGTAATACAATACTGGATTATAACCCTAAGGATAAAATAAATACCCATGAGTCCATATGGTGGTTGAATAAATAAATGGGTAATAAAGACACATCTCTCATATGGAATAATTCTAAAAAAATTATAGATATCTCCCTCTTACCTCAAAAAAGAGAGGCTTACCTCCCTGTCCCTTGAGTGTCTTGTGTTTAATGACCTGCTTCCACAGAGTAGAGTATGGAAAGGGAGAAACAACAGTAACTTCACAGTAACTTGGATTAACTTGACAAACACTACCTCAGGTGAACAAGTTTAACATCATCAGTGATGAGTCATATCAGTTGTATGTATCCTTTATATAATGTGAAGAGTAGCACTTTGGGGCTCTTAGCGTATAGAGGGGAATTGTTTATAGATTATGAGACATTTCTGGGCCCAGCAGAGTATAATTGATCAGCAGATATCCCAGCTTTGCTGATGTCCTTCTTTAGAGTGGTAACTAAAGGGAACCCATTTTATGTGTACATCCTGATAGAGGAAGGATGGACTACAGTATATTACTGTATTCACATTCTTTCCTTATCTAAATGCCATACCATGGGAGCGTACAGCATGGTGCGTGTACCCTGTACCCATTCCACAAATGTTTGAGTATTGTAGATAGAGGGTACCCTGTCTGGCTTAGTGGGAACATGTAGGAGAGATACTTCACCCTCCTTCAGGGACCAAGAGATTGGAACACTGAGTTTGGAAGACGCTTATTTATTAGCACTGGAATTTCTTGCTAATTATGAAGAATCAGGGGGTATTAAGGTCATTTTGAGTTATGAATTAGAAAATGAGTTTTGAAGACTGCTGCATTCTGAAAGTTGACGGTACTCACCTGACTGGATTGTCTTGGCAGAATATTTTTTGGAAGACTGTATTCAGATGACCCACTTTATTCCTCCACCAAAGGACAAGAAGAAAAAGGATAAGGAAGATGATGGTGGTGAGGATGATGATGTAAGTGAATCTTCATGGAAAATTTTTCATTAGGGACAGATTTTGTTATTGTAGTGAACAGATGATTTTAGTAAAAACATGTAATGAATTAACATTATAGAAAACTATAAAGTCTGTTTTTAAGTTAATTGATGTATTTTACTCCAAAGGATTCCATGTTCAGTGACAAGCTCTTTTCTTACTACAAGTTAAGTCATTTCTGGATAAAAGTCAAAAGAAAAAGGAAGAAAGAGTTAAGATGTTTAAAGGTCCACATGTGGTTAGAAATAACTCCTGTTTTCCATGGGTCACAGTACCTGGCAAGCTGATAGAAAAGCAAAAGTCTTGTGCCCCATCCCAGATCTACTAAATCAGAACGTACATTTTAACAAAATCTCCATGTGATCCATATATACAATAAAGTTTTCAAAGCAGCAGCTACCCTCCTAGATTAGAGAGCCTATGTGGTGATGACATTATTAGATCGGTATTAAACCAGGGAGTTAGTTATGAGGGATTTCCTAAGAAGAAAGAGGAAAGAAAAATGACACTTATTTTGAGATTTGGACCAATGATAATACAAAAATATATCTTCTATCTGGAATTTTGAACAGAATAAATATTGTAAGACAGCAATGCAGAATTTGATAGGAAATAAGCTGGAATATTTTTAATTAGAAGATATGAGGATATAAATGAATAGCAAATTAGAAAGTTTATCAGGCAGAAAAAAGACCAATTGTAACAACTTTCTCACTACTAAAGGCTTGGTTTAGCACTGATTCTAAGGCAGACTTTTTAGAAAATACCACATTATTTTGGAAATAGATGATCAAATGAGCTGCCAGCAGGATACTCATTTAAGAATTAAAGGACTTCATATTTGGTAGGAGATGAGCCTGGGAATTACACAGGGAGGTGTTGTGTATAGGTAAAGTAATCATATGGTAATTGATGCACAGACAGGATCATAGTAGCAGTTCATTTATCAGTAAGGAGAATATTTTTGAGAGACCAATGGAGTAAAGTCTTAATAAAGAAATACATTGGTAGAAGGAGCCATTAGAAGTTTCAGAGTCAAATTTAAGAGTTTGTGCTTGAATTATAGACATTGCCTATGGGAAATATTGGTCATGAGAAAAATACAGTATCTCAATATGTAGTAGGTTCTACATTTTTGGAAATTAAATTTCTTCTGTATGCCAGATAAGACTAATAAGCTAGAATTAATAAGGACAGGTGTCATTTGAATGTTAAGAACAAATCTAAGAGACATCTCGTGAGCTGTAGTAATTAAGACAGTTCAAAATATGTCTCCCTATGTTTTGCAGGCAAATTGCAACCTGATCTGTGGTGATGAATATGGTCCAGAAACAAAGATGAGCATGGCTCAGTTGAATGAAAAGGAAACCCCTTTTGAACTCATAGAAGCTCTACTTAAGTACATTGAGACCCTTAATGTTCCTGGGGCTGTGTTGGTTTTTCTGCCTGGCTGGAATTTGATTTATACTATGCAGAAGCATTTGGAGATGAATCCACATTTTGGTATGAGTCTTTGAATTCTCACATATTTGACAGTGAAAAATGAATATTTTTGCTTGTGCCCTAGCCAGCATGTATGTGAAAACAAAATGTAATATGTCAATATTTGGATAAAAATATACGTAATGTAGAGCAGTTTTAAAATGGACTATTATTTTTAGACCTTAACCTTTCCTTAATTGTTATAGGAAGCCATAGGTATCAGATTTTACCTCTGCATTCTCAGATTCCTCGAGAGGAACAGCGCAAAGTATTTGATCCAGTACCAGCTGGAGTAACCAAGGTAAATAATAAACATTTACACTTACGGGGTTGGAGGTTACATAGATATTAAACAAATATTACAGGCCTTCATAGAGCTACCACAAAAAAATTGTATAAATTGAGGAGGGAAAGAAGGGGTCTTCTCTTCCTGAGCTTAGTAAGTTTTTCATTAGTCGGGCAGTGGGTGAATGATTTTTTTAAGGCTCCTGGAATTCTCTTGCCACTTGTTACATAAGCAAATCCTTCTTTTAAGTGCATAATAGGAAAATATTTTCTGAAGTATGATTTTTCTTAATATTTCTTCACAGGTTATTTTGTCCACAAATATTGCTGAGACTAGCATTACCATAAATGATGTTGTTTATGTCATTGACTCCTGCAAGTAAGTTTCCAAGGAACCTGTTTGCCTAGAATAAATCTTAAGAATGTTCCATGTAGTAGTTAGTATCAGTTAACAGAATCAGAATCACCCTTTTTTTTTTTTTTTGAAGTCCTGTGTTCTTGTACTGTGTTAATTATTGTGTACCGTATACTGGGTTACAGGCTAATTAATAATTCTTGGTGTTGATTTATCACAAATCATTTATCATGGTAGAAAGTGACAAAGCTTGACACTCTAACTCCTGAGCTTCCCACTGCTCGTCTGCTGATATTTGCTCATTTCTCATTGGTGGGTGTTTGCATTGATTACAGCCATACAGTAGCATACTGCTTAGTGTATAAAGATGACCAATATTTATCTTATGACAAATATCCTACTTGTGCGACATTCACTTAAGAATTAAAAAATTTAATTTGGTATGCGATGAGCCTGGGAAATACACAGGGAGGCATTATGTATAGATAAAGTACACAATTATATGGTTACTGATACACAGGACAAAAAAGTCAAAACTTTGTTATATCTGGCTAGCTTGTGCCCCGTGTCTTCTCTACATAGTCCCTCAGCCTCCCCGGCAATTGAGAAAGATCTGCCAGTGCCCACTGTAGGGAATGGTGACTAGCACGCAGCTCCCCTGAGCCAGCTCCAGTCAGTTAGTGCCAGCTGCCTGTGTGGAGCGTTGAAGGGTTCTGAGGTTGCTTTGGGGTTCAGGACTGCGCGGGCACTGCTTGGTGAGGTCATCAACTTTTAGATCATAGATAGCCTGGAAGTTACACTAAACTTTGGGACAGACTTGGCTTGAATAATTACTGTTTATTCTCATGTATGTGCCAAATCCCATTTGAATGCTTTCCATTCATTAATTCACTTAATGTTTATAAATAAAAATTCTGTGAGTTCGGTAAGAGTATTATAGCCATTTTCAGATGAGGAAAATGGGACACAGAAGGATTAGTAACTTGGCCAAGACCATCTAGCTGGTAAGTGGCACGGACGTGTTGTTAGAAGGTTGACGACTCAGAAGGTGCAGTCAAATTCTTCCTGGTGCTGCACACAGGCTTCATGTCGGCATAGCTACCTGGAAAGCATCCCATCCCTTAGTGGAAATATGATAGTTAAGTACTGGTGGTACATGTGAGTCTAAGAATTAGCCACTGTTTCCTATTTAGGCAGAAAGTGAAGCTGTTCACTGCTCACAACAACATGACCAACTACGCTACAGTTTGGGCATCTAAAACAAACCTTGAGCAGCGGAAAGGACGAGCTGGCCGTGTGCGGCCTGGATTCTGCTTTCACCTGTGTAGCCGAGCTCGTTTTGAGAGGTAAGACCAATTCTTAAATAAAGACTATAGGTTTGTTTTTTTACCCCTTCATACAATACATCACCTCCCGTCCCCTGCTGTGAACTTACTGAACTCAGAGTACATAAATGCCTCCAGTTACCTATATTGGAGGATAGATACTTGGCTTAAATAACAAGATTGTGGCAAGAATGAAATTGTCAGTGATGGCATGTTTGCTGATTTTCTGCTTACTACTGATCTTTTAAACGGAGGCTATATGGACATTATTTTAGTTCCACATAGGTCACTTTAGGGATTACTGGTATTTATGGAATGGTTAACTTCTTGAAAAATACATTTAAAAAATACTTCCATATTTACAGATTTTTTTTTCCCCCTAATGTTAGCACATCACTGTATCTCCTAGGATCCTCCTCATATGCCTGAGAAATAGAGGGCATTATTTGGATAAGGAAACTAAAGCTTAAGGCTCTTAGCTGACTTCTCCAGGACTGAAACCCAAGTCTGTTAATACCTTGTCCAATTCCATTTATACTATAAGCCTGTTGGGGAATGTTTGTGGTTGGGACTTGTTTAAAAAAAATCCTTCTCTCTCTGAATTAGAGATTTCAGATGCATAGTTATATGTTTCTGGATATCCATGTGTGTGCATTAGCTTGAACCAGTTGACCATAAGATAGAGTTAGGGGTTTTGTACACGTGTGTATTTATCACAATAAAGTATTGTGGGACATACTTAATTTAGGTGACCAGATGTATATAATGCCCTGAAGAAAAACCAAGGAAACTTTGATTTGCTTTTGTGTTGGTAACTACGGCTCCCTGGTAATTGTAAATGTGGATTTATTTGAGCATCAGAAGTTAGCTCAGGATACTGGCTGCAACATTTGGAAGGTACCTACTTTTTAAAGGTTAGATTGTCCCTTGAAGAAACAAGTACTGTACTTAGACATCTTAGAGTGAAAACCACCTACTAATTAGTAATGGCATGAATAGACCTATAATAAAGGATTTTTGTTCTTTTCTTTATAGGGTGAGAAACAGATAATGCTATCTGCATTTATGTAAACCTTATTTAAGCTGACCAGTCTTGCCAGCAGTGTTGGAATCATCAATAAATAATTCCCATGAATCTTCATCATGAATAGTGTATAGCCAATAAGTCTGAATTAGAAATTTAGAGACCTGGGGGTGCCTGGGTAGCTCAGTCGGATAAGTTGTGATTTCGGGCCCTACATTGGGCTCCATGCTGGGCATAGAGCCTACTTAAAAAAAAAAAAATGTAGATTTTAATACCATTTGTACCTATTTGTGGAATTTAATGCCATTTGTACCTATTCTATGACATAACCTAAGTATTTACACTCTCTAGGCCTCTGTTTCCCCATTTTGTAAAATGAGATTGTTACTTAACTGTCTGTGCTCCTCCAGTTGAAAATGGAAGATACTATAATACCTAACCCACAGAATTTGTTTGAGAACTAAATGAGTTAATAATGTTAAATACTGAGAACAATGCTTGGCATATGGTAAGCTCTCAGTAAATGTTAGCTATTATCATTGTTAATATTAATTTGTAATAGTAACTTTTATTAAAATTTTTAAGGGTTAGATGATCTGTAAAATCCTTGCTGGTAGCACTAAATTTTATGAACCAGGAAGGGAAGGTGATTATGGGGATATGTTAGTATTAGCCCACATCTCCACAGAAAGTCTTACTACCATTGGGAGGTGGGGGGGCAGATGGGGGGAGGTGTTTGTTTTTGAGTATAGTTGACAGTCGATGTTATATTAGTTTCAGGTGTTCAGAATAGTGATTTAACAACTCTATACATTATGCTAAGCTCCCCACCAGTGTAGCTACCATCTGCCACCATACAGCACTTTTACAGTACTATTGACTATATTCTCTGTGCTGTACCTTTCACCCTTGTGACTTATTCATTCCATAACTGGAAACCTGTATCTCCCCCTCCCCTTCACCCATTTTTGCCTGTCCCCTCCCCCCGTCCCCTCCGCTCTGTCTAGCCACCGCTTTTAACCCATGTTTGTCACCCGGTGAGACCTGAAGAAGTCATAGGTATGGGTAATAACATTAAGGATTTGGGATAATTTTTCATCCTCCTTCACTCCTCAGATGAAAATACCATCAAGCTATAATTGTAAAGTCGTAAACCACTGCTCAAGCAGTTAAGAGGGTCTTGTCCAGAGAGTCTTTGTTGTAAATACAAAACATTGTTTGATAATTGTAAAAGGATGAGGGAGGGACAACTCTATAAACCTGATTATCTCTCTGCAAAGATTTTATTAAACAGACGTGTATATATTAGAGTGGATGGTTATTTTATGCTTTTCTTCCCTTAGACTAGAAACCCACATGACACCTGAGATGTTCCGAACACCATTACATGAAATTGCTTTGAGCATAAAACTTCTGCGTCTGGGAGGAATTGGACAATTCCTGGCCAAGGCAATTGAACCTCCACCTTTGGATGCTGTGATCGAAGCAGAGCACACTCTTAGAGGTACCTACAAATACAGACCTACCTAACAACATGTTAATTATTGTCTTGTCCTGGCAGCTAGCATGTAACAGATGAATCAAGGTACACTCAGCAGGCTGGTGAGTGGTAAGACTTCCAGTGTTGCCTTACATATTTAGTGTGGTCAGTTTCATAAAATGAGGTAAGAAAAGGGTAACCTGAGTCTTCTTTTGGTAAAAAATGTCATTTCTTAACCAATATTTAATAATCAGAACATGCATTACTCACGATATTCTTTTATGTTTATCTGTTAAAACATATCTGTTTGTGTTTTCTAATCATGTCATAGAAGTGGTATAGTATTGTGGGAAAAACTAAAGGTGTTCGCCATGGGAATCTGATTTTGAATTTTGAATCTAGTACTCATCTGCTATATGAACTTTAGACTTTCACTCTCCAGATTTCATTCCTCTCTAAAAATTATCAGTAAATGGTATTAGACTTGTTAGGGCATGTGTACTTAGGCTGTTACTTTAGTTTTTGTATGTATAGAGTTTGTATGGACTATATTCAGTTTACAATCTACAGGGCCTAATTCTAGTACCACCTTCTTATCGGTGCTCCAGAATTTGGTTTTGTTGTGTTTTTGAGTGAGGAGAATTGTTGGCTATGGGCATGGTGCTGGTAGTTGGTTTGACAAATAATGAAAACTCAACCTGTAAAGAAATGTTTCATCTTTGCCTCAGTTAAAGGGGTTTTCGTTACTATTTCCGCTGTTTTACTATTTCTGCTCACAAAGAACTATCTCCCCACAGAACTTGATGCATTAGATGCTAATGATGAGTTGACTCCTCTGGGACGAATCCTGGCTAAACTCCCCATTGAGCCTCGTTTTGGCAAAATGATGATAATGGGATGTATTTTCTAGTAAGTGCTTTGTATTATTGCTGATACTTAAATGGTAGAACAATTTCAGAATCTTATTTCCCTCCCCATAAAAACAGGATAGGCTCAGAAGAAAAAATAAATTCTTAGGTATAGAAGTGGCATACTTCAGATACTAAGAAAAGAATGAAATGAGAAGAATGCATGGTCCCAGTAGATGGACACCTGGGCCCAGCTTGTTGGGGGAAAGAGCACAAGTTTCTCAAAAGAATTGCAGTTTGTCTCAGGAGCATAAGTAGTTGTCTTTGAAAGACAAATAGCACTAGGAAAACAGGTATATTTTATCAGGAAATTTTGAAGATTAAGAGATTTGAGAAGATGGGGAAGAGAATAAGGAGAGGGAAAATATAATACTTGGTCATAATTTATGGTAAATATGCATCCATTAATTATCAGAGCTCCTTGTTTTTTCCCTTTCCGCTTCTGGAGAGAGCAGCTGTAAAAGTTCTTTGTTAAGCCAATCTCAGTGCTAATAAAGTGGTATCGTAGCCAGTAAAGACTCTGACCCACAGTGACAGGTACTGCTCGTGAACTGCTGGAACAAGAGCGTGACAAGACTGAATTTTCCTGTCTGTTTCAGTGTGGGAGATGCTGTCTGTACCATCTCTGCTGCCACCTGCTTTCCGGAGCCTTTCATTAGTGAAGGAAAGAGACTGGGTTATATTCATCGAAATTTTGCTGGAAACAGATTTTCTGATCATGTGGCCCTTTTATCAGTCTTCCAAGCTTGGGATGATGCTAGGTACGGGTTTGAAAGAGGGAAAGTTGTAAGTTGTGAGAACTGTCTCTAGTTGCTAATGTATTGAGGTTTTAAGAAATGACTCTTAATCTATTTTAGAATGGGTGGAGAAGAAGCAGAGATACGTTTTTGTGAGCACAAAAGACTCAATATGGCTACACTAAGAATGACCTGGGAAGCCAAAGTTCAGCTCAAAGAGATTCTGATTAATTCTGGATTTCCAGAAGGTAAGGCTCTCTAAAGATCTATCTGAAGTGACATTTATGCAGCATGTGCACATTGACCGTGCAGTATATTTTAGCTTCAGACTTTAGACCCTGTGCTTTTTCTGTGTTCCTAGCTATTTCTTCATTCTTTGAACTATAATGATAATCAGTTTTTCACATTTATTCCGTCTTTTAAAAAAGGAAGCAAAAGGTTGTGATGCTCAAATTATAACATATTACACAGATGATTAATAGATGTTTTAAGAATTGTGCTACTTTGAGAGGTTTTTTTTTTAGTCTCTTTTATCTTACGAAGAACAGAGGTGTAACTTTTAGCAGTTGTAATACAGAATAAGCAGTTTGTTGAATAACCTCAAATAGTGGTTTGTGAAATGATTGATCATTCTGCCCACATGTTCATGTTTAGACATGAAATTTACCATGTTAAATTTTAAGTGCCTTTAAGTAAGGTTTTAGTGTGCTGGCAGGTAAGAGGGCTTGGATAATGTGATGGATATATTAGTTGAGCTGTTGAACTTTTGTTCTCCAACTAGATTAAAATTCCTAAAATTGGGAATTGAAGCACATAACCAGAAATAGCTGTGTAGTTGAGAGTATAGTTGGGCAAGATGGCAGATTTTAAAAGGATATGATCTAAATAACTTACAGACAAAATGTTTTCCTCTGTTGCAAACTGACTTAAGTTTGTAGTTTTTTATCAAAATCAAGGAAAGAAGAAGGGCATATTTTGTGTGATAGGATCCTCACAATAATCCTGAGATGCATGTATTGTTACCCTGTTTTATAGAAGAGGAAGCTAACACAGAGGTTTAAATTACTTGTCCAGATACATTCAGTTAGGAGGTGAGAAGATTAGAACTCAGGTTTTTCCAGCACAGAATATATCCATGCTCTTAGTGGTCACTGTCATACTTCCCAAACCATGATGAAGTACTCCTAAAGCATAGTCTGGGTGAAAATATCCGCCCTCATTCCTGTGGGCTTCCTTGGATTGTTACTCTTTCTAGAAAGAACAGCTATTTAGGAACAGCAGATGGAATACTTTGTTCACCTATTGGTTTAGCTCACTTGGCAAGTAGATGATTAACCTGGGGGTGGGGGAGGTGGCTTTTTGTCATTAAGTAATCACTCCAAGCTTGGGTTGTGGTTGAGTCTATAAGAGAATGCAAGTATTTTAGTTTTCTTGCTGTGGAGACTCAGCAGAATTTCTCCTTGAACTTAATGTGGGTGTAAGAGTTCTGAGAAGACAGGAAATTAGACAGGTTATCTGAAAAAAGAGGTGGGAAGGAGGAGTCAGTTCTCGTAATTCTCTTAACTAGTTTACATGCAATATGAGGATTAGCCAGATACCTGATATTTGTACCCCTTTCCTTTTACAGATTGCTTGTTAACACAGGTGTTTACTAACACTGGACCAGATAATAATTTGGATGTTGTTATCTCTCTCCTGGCTTTTGGTGTGTACCCTAATGTGTGCTATCATAAGGAAAAAAGAAAGATTCTCACCACTGAAGGGCGTAATGCCCTTATCCACAAGTCTTCTGTTAATTGTCCTTTTAGCAGCCAAGACATGAAGTACCCATCTCCCTTCTTTGTATTTGGTGAAAAGGTAAGAAAAGATTAGTTTAGAAAAATTTACGTTGAGGGGCACCTGCATGGGCTCAGTATGTTAAGTGTCTGACTCTTGATTTTGGTTCAGGTCATGATCTTGGCCCCGTGTCGGGCTCTGTGCTGAGCAAGGAGCCTGCTTGAGATTTTCACCCTTTCCCTCTGCCCCCCCCAAAAGAAAAATTTACGTTGAAAATCTACATTGTCGTTAACTTATTAATGTGCAGTGGGAACATGAGTTTTAATTTTTGAAGCATAGTTCATTATCATTATATGGCAATTGCTTGGCAGCTGGACTGTCATCTGTTTCTTCTTGCCTCTTTTTTCATCTGCAGATTCGAACCCGAGCCATCTCTGCTAAAGGCATGACCTTAGTTACTCCCCTGCAGTTGCTTCTCTTTGCCTCCAAGAAAGTCCAGTCTGATGGGCAGATTGTGCTCGTAGATGACTGGTATGGATTTTCAGATGTGAACTCCAAACTGCATTCTTACAATTGAGGTGTAATGGGATTCAGCTGCTAATCTAACTTAATTTGTGAAAGAAACATGACAAAATTTCATGACATAAATGAGGTGTTTTATAACATTGTCTTTTCTTGGAGAGTGGATATCTTGGTAGTATAGTTCGTAGGTAGTAAGTCATACCATTGGAAGCAAATGCATTAGGCATTGAAGCCACATCTGCCCCCATGAATACTACCCTAGAGAATTGGAATTTAATTGGAACTGGGGTACCTCTTTCATGTACTCTGTATGTTGGTTAGAGACTACTGGTAAGCATGTACTAACCACTTGACAAAAATGGAATAGATCTTAGTGACCCATCAGTAGGCTCAGTCATATTCCTGAAAACTCCAGCAATGTGAGTCTTTTCTTTCATTCTTTTATTGGAAGCTGAGTGATCTGTATTGCTAACAGTAGTTTGCTTGATAGACTTCCTGGTTTACAGTACCCGCCAGTAGCCAGCAGTGGGTTTTAAGAAGTTAGTGTAAGACTGTTACCATTCTTCATACCTGTGTTTGCCTAAGTCTGGGGAATTGAAAGTATTGGTACTTAGTAAGAAGTTAAATTTATTCCATCACTTACGATATGTGAAATTGAGAGACCGTAGTCTTTTGCTGTGTGTACCCCTCTTGTACTTTATCATTTTTCTCTGTTTTAGGATCAGACTGCAAATCTCTCATGAGGCTGCTGCCTGTATCACTGCTCTCCGGGCGGCCATGGAGGCTCTGGTTGTTGAAGTAACCAAACAGCCTAATATCATCAGCCAGTTGGACCCTGTTAATGAACATATGCTAAACATGATCCGCCAGATCTCTAGACCATCAGCTGCTGGTATCAACCTCATGATTGGCAGTACACGGTGAGTACACAGTAACTTCTCTGAACCAAGCAGAGGACGATGATCTTATACTGGCCTAAAATTCCCTCAGGTAGCTGATAGAGGCCTTGTTTATTTAAGTTAAAATTCTAGACAAACACTGAATATGAAATTTAATTCTGATTAACACACTCAGAGAAAAGGATGTTACTAACTTTTATCTCTGTTAATAGTGTATCAGTGCATGTTGGAGATTTAAAGGGACCTTAAAAGTACATACAAAGTCCAGGGTGGGTCACATGATGGGAAAGTGACAGAGCCCAGACTCTTCACTTTCCACAGTACTGTTTTGCCATCTCTAATGAAAAAATGTTGATTGAAGGGTTAAATTGCTGCTGCTTCAAATGAAAAGCCTCAAGGTTTATCTTAGTAGGGAAATGCAAGAATGTGACTGACTTAAAGAAGTGTGAAATTTCTCTTAATTCTTAAAATGTCTTATTTGGTTTGCTTTTTTCCACCTTTTCAATCTTCCTTTGCTCACAGTTCTTTCTTTGGAAATATTTGATACCTGCAGAGAAGGCAGAGGATAGTACAGTGAACACCCATATAGTCTTATAACTTAAACTCACTAATCTTCCACATTCTGTGACGATTTCTTGCTTTCATACATGTGTGTAAACACACATACCTACTTTTACTTAATCATTTGTGACTGAGTTGCAGAGGTTATGACATTTTACATCAGTATATTTCATGCATCTTTTAAGCATATAACTGCAATACCATGATCACACCCCCAAAATTTAAGTGTTTAACAATTGTCTAATATACATATTAAAAATTTTCTAATTATCCAAAAATATTCTTTAATCTCCCTTTCAAGGAACAGTTACTGCTTTCGGTTATAAACTGTTAATAATTTTAATATATAGAACTGCTAGAATTCATAAAGCATTCTGGGTCCCATTTTGCTATGATTTACTTTTTAAAATTTATTAATCATACACATAGTATTCATTGTGTGCCAGGCACTGTGCTGAGTGCTTTTCTGATATTAACTCATTTTAATATTTGCTCTATCTATGATGTAGGTAGATCTTTGTCCCCTTTAATATGAATAAGGATACTAGCACAGAGAAGTTAAGACCCAAGGCCATACAGCTAGTGAATGGTAGGACTGGATTCAGACTAAAGCAGTAATGGCTCCTGAAACAGTGCTCTTACTGTGCTATACCTTGCTCCTCCAGTGGGTCAAATACATATGAGAATTATTGAGCAGTCTTCAAAAAGAAAGAAATAATAAGTGTGTGTCATAGGTAGATGTGGTGCTCATAGGTATTTAGAAGAGCGTTTACTTTTGGCAGGAGGGATGGTGAATAAGGAGGCTTCACATACAATCTGCCCTGTGGAGGACAAAAGTCCAGAACCTAGAAAGGATGGGATAAATACGGGAAAGAGTTTAGGATGCATGAATATAATGGTGGCTTGAATTACAGTAGGGAGAATTGAAATGGGGAGGAGTAGATTAGACAAGTTTGCAGGACCATCAGGAGGAATTGGTGATGGATTGAAATGGGGGGAGCAGGGCAGTGAAGGAGTGAAGACAGATCCCAGCTATATTTCTAACTTGGACAACTGCTGAATTCATAGTGCTGGTCTCTATAAGAAAAGCTGTGCAGGAGACTGTTGAATCACAGATCTGTACCTCTGAAACAAATAATGCAATATATGTTAAGAAAAAAAAGAAGATAGGAGGGGAAGATGAAGGGGGGTAAATCGGAGGGGGAGAACGAACCATGAGAGACGATGGACTCTGAAAAACAAACTGAGGGTTCTAGAGGGGAGGGGGGTGGGAGGATGGGTTAGCCCGGTGATGGGTATTAAAGAGGGCACATTCTGCATGGAGCACTGGGTGTTACACACAAACAATCATGGAACACTACTTCAAAAACTAATGATGTAATATATGGTGATTAACATAACAATAAAAAATAAAAAGAAAGAAAACTCCTATAAAAAAAGAAAAGAAAAGCTGTGCAGGAAGAATAAGCAGTTTGGGGTGTGCTGAGTTTTGGAGGGTTGTTAAGTGAGACATCTTGATTATGCAATTTTTCTTTTTTTTTTTTTTTTAAGATTTTATTTATTTGACAGAGACATAGCAAGAGCAGGAACACAAGCAGGGGGAGTGGGAGAGGGAGAAGCAGGCTCCCTGCAGAGCAGGGAGCCCGATGCGGGGCTCGATCTCAGGACCCTGGGATCATGACCTGAGCTGAAGGCTGACGCTTAAGGACTGAGCCACCCAGGTGCCCCTTGATTATGCAATTTTTCATTACCCCTCATTTTCTTTCTTTGCCACATGAAACATTTATGTGTAAACAAATCACCACAGGCATTTTTCAAAAACATACTTCAGAATCAATGCAGGAAAATACGTGGTGATAAAGATCAAATAACACTGCCAACTCCGGGAGCCTCTTCCTTACATATCATTGCTTTCGTAGAATGCTGTATAGCTGAGGCTCAGTGAAAGCGAACCATCCATCTTAAGTCGTAAGGACATACTGCCAAAATGGAAGATCTTTGAGAATGAACCAGAAAGAACTTTAGACAAACATAGGATTACAGTAGATGCGTTCTTCTGTATCTATTATGGAGTAACAGATTTATTTCATTTCAGTTTATATTTGTGCACTTGGGTTCGTTCCCTTTGTGTATTAAATTTCCAAATATGACTTTATATTTTATGACTAGTTGAGATGTATTAAGGATGCTTTGCTAAAGTGGTGATTTTGTACTTTTCCTAGGTATGGAGATGGTCCACGTCCTCCCAAGATGGCTCGATACGACAATGGAGGTGGATACCGACGGGGAGGTTCTAGTTACGGCGGTGGGGGCTACGGCAGCGGAGGCTACGGAGGTGCCGGCGGCTACGTCGGCGGCGGAGGCTACGGTGGCAGCGGCTATGCTGGCGGCTCCAACTCCTATCGCGGAGGCTATGGCGGAGGCTACAGAGGAGGTGTCAGTGGTGGCTATAGAGGTGGCTCGGGAGGAGACTATAGAGGGTCTGGTGGAGGAGGCTACAGAGGAACTGGGGCATTCCAGCGAGGGGGTGTCCGAGGGGGCTATGGGGGTGGTTACTTTGGACAAGGAAGAGGAGGTAGTGGCTATTAAAACGTGTTATGTCAGTGCCTATGCATAGACAGTTTAAAAAAAAAAATGCATGCTACCTGTTTTCCCAAGTTGTTTATTTGATGCCAGTAAGTAAACCCATTTTCCGCCCATTTTGTGGTTCATTATAGTTTAAGGAAACCAAGCATATAGATACATTAGTGGTTTTGTTTATATTATGTAAAGTACACTGATTCTAAAACTACCACAGTTTGTATTTTTTCTTTAAGGAGTAAAAATTTGCCTTTAAAATTAACTTGATATTTTCTTGGCTTTAGTTTATTAATACAATAGAAAATAAAGTATTATACCAAATACTGGCCATGTAGTTCATTGTTGACATTACACGTTAGAATAATTTTGCAGTGCCGGTTACATCTATTTTAAGCGTCACAGGAAAAATTGTACTTTCTGTTTTCCAAAGTATACCAAGTGATACTGTTACTTGTAGTATTTAGAGTAAATAGCCTTGAAATAGAATTGTTCTTCCAGTAAATACTGGCCAGTGCACAATTTCACATGGACCTCTGCCCCTGAATAAAACTTTTGACCTAGGCCTGAACATTTTGACTTTTTCCCAAGCTTTGTATTTGAAAAATCTAAGACCAGGTAAGCATTCTCTTTTCTAAGTTAGTTCGCAGTGTAAAAATTACTTTTAATTAGAATTAAAAATTAACCCACAAAATTAAGGTTATATTTAGTCGAAGAATGAAGGTAAGTGAAGCTTCACCAATGCATCAAGTTTATTTGAGTAGAGATGTTTATACATTTATAACATTTTATGGTTTTCAATAAATTTTCACGTTTCTCATTTGAAATAGCATAGTACAGTAAAGATCACAAAGGCTGGGGCGCCTGGGTGGCTCAGTTGTTAAGCGACTGCCTTCGGCTCAGGTCATTATCCCGGGGTCCTGGGATCAAGCCCCACATCGGGCTCCCTGCTCAGTGGGAAGCCTGCTTCTCCCTCTCCCACTCCCCCTGCTTGTGTTCCCTCT